ACAGCTGTTTCTCTCACTATTGTTTCCACATTGGTTGAAACCCTGTTATTATTCAGTTGTTGCATTTTCCAGAATTTTGGCAGAATTTAAACTTTCTCAGAATATTTTACTAGCTTATTATTTTATCTTTATTGTTCTTGGTCTGTGCTTTATTCTGCTGCTGTTTATACTTGCATCACCCATGTTGCATTTTTTTTTACACAGGAATACAAGGCATTTCAGTTAAAAGCTGTTAGCATTATATGTAACTGTAGTTTTCTGACATAATTTCTTTCCAATTAGGTGAAAATGAAATCCTTGAAACTCTATACAATATTGCAAGCAAGAACCAGATATGGAGATCTTACATAGGCATGGGTTATTCCAACTGCTCAGTGCCACAGCCCATTGCACGGAATTTGTTGGAGAATGCAGGATGGTAATGTACCGCATTTTATTTTTAAAGGCATATGTATAAATATATGTTTGAAGTTTGTCTTATGAATGAGCATAGACAAATATACCCCAAACGTATTTTTTGACCAAGGGTTTCCATATGTTTGATACTGACGTGTAAGTGTAGGAACTGTGTTGTTCATGCTGAAGCTAGAGAGGAAAAAGAATACTTTTGACTCTAGAAGGTGCTTTTTCTATAAAATATTTCGTTGATCTCTGTGACTTCTATTCACAGCTCCTATTTATTATGAACTAAAACAAGAATATTTGTTTGCTTTAAGGAAGTATACAGACTTAACTCCTAAACTAAAGTAATTCTTTCCTAACTTCTGCCTAAATTTAAACTGGCTCCCTCCTCCACTGGTGTATGCAATTTTGGGTGGAGGTAGTTAAATACCATGGAATACTCTGATTATGTTTTTCTTATGAGGAAGTAAGAACCCTTGAAAATTTTAAAGGCTTTTCTCTTGGAATTTATTTATTGATTTTTTTTGAAACCAGAGACCTTCAAGAGTTTGAACGTGTATCCATAAAGTATGTTGTTGCCTGAACAAATAATTCACTGGTGCCTGAAAACAGGTAGACAGCAATACTTGATAATTCATTTATGAAGAGCTTGTACTTTGTTCTCATCACCCAGCTGACATTTCAGTTTTTTGGGACAAGCAACAGAATAGCCTGACTGACAGACTTGAATTTGAATGTTGCTGGTTTGTTGTATTTTTTTTTACTTAAATGTAAAAAGGAAAATATTTTAATGTGTTGATTTATATCTTATGAACAGCATTAATCTAAATAATAATGGGGTTTTATCTCTTGATGGACTTTTCCTGACAAAGGCACTAAGGCTTAATTATGAATACTCATTTAGCATTGACATTTCTCTAAAGAGCTGTAACTCAGAAACGATGCAACAGAAAAACTAAATTTAATGTAGAGTCTCACTTTCCAGCAGACTGAATGCCACTGATACCCTGCATTGTCTCATTTGGTTCAGAAGTTCCCTTATGTCTAGTCAGTAACATCTTTTTTTTTGTACTGTATTAAAGTAATAACTGTCATCTTTATTACTGAGTAACTTTTATTTTAATAAAAGCAGTATTTAAAGTTTTTTTATATATATAAAACCTCAACCAAACAAAGAGTCAAATTAGTCAGTGTAAAAAGCCATTGTTACTTAGATGCTATATTTTTTGTACTTTGGGTTGCCATAAATGGGTCTATGTATGTATAGACTTCCAAGTCTTACGTATTTTTAGACTTGTCTGCTCCATTTGCATCTCAAACTTTTGAACTGTTGAAAAAGTTGCACTGTTTGGACTCAAGGAATCTATGCAATACCTCTATACAAAGTTTTATTTGGCTTTATCCCCACCCTCTTTTTGCAACATCTGCAATCTAAATATTTCAGTGCAGTGCACTAAACAAATAATCAGCTGCTAGAGGTAAAAATAAGAACAGGTTAAGAAGTGGACCCAAATTATTAAAAATCCTAAAAAATTATATAGTGTTAATGAAAAAACTGGGAGAGCCTATCCAGAAATCTGTTCTTGGAGTGTCCAATAAAGTCAAACTAGATGGATAAAAGCTAAACTTTTCAATGGCCAAAGTGAAGGCTAAAATGTTTGTTGGGCAGAGGGAGCGTGTGTGTGTGTGCGTGTGCAAAAGCAACTGTACAGACTTTATGGGAGCTGTTTAAGAATCAAACCTCTTCCTGCATCTACTGAGTGTGTAACACTTTCTGTGCTAACGCACTTCACATTGCAACTCCAAGGGAAATGCTGCAAGCCCAGGCTTATTGTTTCTGATCAATTCTGCCGGTCTCACATGACTCGTAGCTTCTCATTGCTTGGCATTCATTAGAGCAAGGCTTGCATTGGAATGCAATGTAAGTTTATAAAAAATTGTTCATGGAAGTCTGAACACAAAAGTGAAGGACTTCACAGTATTTAGGATGCTTGGACTTGCTAGGAGGAGGTAGGAATCAAAGGGGTAGATTTCAGGAGGAAACTGTTTAGAACAAAATGTTTTTTTGGCTGAAAATGAGACTACTGACCCACACTGCTTTCTTTAGAAGATGACCACAAAAGTCTTCCCAAATCACAGATTGAACCTTTTGAAGTGTTTGGACAATGATCTATAATATCTCTGTTCACAAGGAAAGCTGAATAGCTTTATTACTGTGAGATAAAACTGTCTGACCAAAACTATGCACTAGCAAGTGCCTGGGAAGTCAGCATTCAGGAATTTCGTGTACTGGTAGCTTTAGAAAAGCATAGGTGTCCTTTTCTTTTAAGTCTAAATCCCATTTTAACTACTTCTGTATTCATGAAAGAAGCTATTTCAAAACACTTGGGGTAGATATTTTTCAGATAACTTTTTATCCAAAGAAAGCTTTTATTGAAAGTTAGAGAACAAGCAGAGAGGTTTCTGTTGTGAACCTGAAATGCTGCAGTTAAAATTCCAGTCTCCTACGTGAGGGATTTGGCTTAGTCACAGAAGGTAGAGGATAAGTATCCCTTACTTTTGATACTTGATTTCTGTTTGTTCTTGGTTACTGACTGCTTGGTTACTGACTGAACACTTTCTTGTTCTTAGCAATGTGACTAACAATTCCATGCTAACATGGGGTGAAGTCTTAGAAGTATTTTCCATACACTACTTAGTTGATATTAGCAAAAATATTAGCTGGTTTATTCCAAAAAAATAAATAGCAGGCCAATGGGTAACTTAGTTTATCCTTAGAACGTCTCAACTCTGAAATGCAGGCAGAAGGATTTATTTTGAGGCATACCACCAATTATGTGACTGTCAGCATAGACCCTTCAAATGTATGAATACCTGACAAATGTATGTCATCTGTCTGCTGGTAGGGATGCATAGTCCTTATTCTACTGTACACCATATTAACATATTAATTAATTTTTTTCACACCCAGTGTGCTGAGTGGCATTTCCCTAGTTGCATACCAAATTAATTCTGTGCCCTGCCATGAACATAAGTGAATAACTGAAGATGTGAAGAATATTTGGTTTCAGAAATCAGCTTAGAGATAGGCTTCTTATTAACATATATGTCAAAACAGTGTAGTTTTATTTTGGGGGCTTAAATGGATAAAAATACCTAACAGGCCTTGAAAATCAAGAAGGCCTTTAAAGTCACACTAATACCATACAACGGAGCATGATGCAGAGGTCTCCAAAGTACAGGTCACTTGATTCCTTTGCCCCTAGACATTAAATATGTAGGAATAAAGTACCTGTACCAAGGACACCTGCAGTCTTTACATCGGTAGTGTATCTTTTTAAACTTACTAGCTAGTAGCACTCAGCACTTACACATTGCATTCTGAAAATAACTGCAGAAATCTGAGGTAAGCATTACGCAGCTGGTTTTTACTTGTAGACCGGATACAGAAAGCTGCACAAGCAACTACAAAGCATGCCAAATTGGCAGTAAATTCAGTGTTTATGCTTTGAGTGGAAACTGGCACGTCTCCATGCCCTATCATAAGACTATCCAGCTTTCTCAAACCCATGGGTAAGATACTGTTTTAGGAACACCCTTATAACTGCTCTTCAAAGATGCATAAAATGCCAAGTGATGCAGCTGGAACTCTATATACAATACAGCATTTGGGAATTTTACAGGCTGGATGGAACTGCTTGCAGTTGTATGGCTCCTAGTTCTACAGCTTTACTCTAATATCTTTCTACACTGCAATATTTGTATATGTGCATATTTAAATTAAGTACAGATGGTTTGTTTTGTTTCACTTTTGGCCTTAACAGTGATATCCAGTCCATAAGAGTCAGATAATTTAAAATTTTCACATATTCATGACTGAACTTCAGTCTTTGTTTTCCATTGTTGTCAGGTGTATGAATTGTCTTTTTTCTGTGGCTCGTGTATGTTGGTTTTAAATTCTACTAGTGGTCTGTCCTTACTTTAAGTTCATTTCATCTTATTAATTGTCAGATCTCAAAAAGAATACTCTGTATAATTGGAAATCCAAATAAATTCTAGCTCTGCCATTGCATGAGATTATCTTTCAGATGTCTAAAACTGCAAGAACATAATTTATAACAAGATAAAAGTATTGTCTTGATTATGAATACATTAACTTTCCAGACATTCAGTCCAAGTATAGAAAAAATCACTAAGGAAGATAGATGGTGAACTGTTTTGCTGGAACTTACTGTATATTAAGAAATAAATTAGGCTTAGTCTTAGATCTTACTGACTGTACACTTGTAAATAATGCTTGATAGTGGAGTTTTCTGAATCTTTGCATGGAAGCAAGAGCTAACTTTAGTATAAAGAAGCCATAACTGTTAATGTTGCAGTTAATGTATAGTCTGTTTTGTTGCTAAACCTAGAACAAACCCAACTCCCAAGTACAAAAGCTTCTGCTCTTTCATAACCCAGATATTTTGATGAGTGGCCTAGCTTTTGGCTGAAAGCATACTTCGTAGATACTTCTTGTTTTGGTGCCAGGTTTTCTTTTAAAACCTTCATCAGTATCTTGAAGTTGGTATTCATACAAGTATTTCTGAAAGTAGGATGAGGTAAAGGGTGAAACACTAAACTAAAGCAAAGAGTTATAAAAGCTACAAAAACTGAAGCCACTTACTACCAAACTCCTGAAGACCAGACACTGGCTCAAGAAAGATGCCACACACTTCTCATGGAAGGTTTCATTTGTGTCATGACTGGTCTGCCCTAATTAGCTTGGGAGCATTTGTCTGCAGAAGTACTTTTGGTCAGAACAGACGCTGACTGGAGATCATATTTTCCTCCAGTTTGATTGAATAAGAGGCAGTTTGAGGCACTTGAACAAACCCAAGCAGAAGAGAGGGGATCTTTGAATGAGAGGCAGTTTAGTGTGCTTTTTAGAGATTTGATTTATGTAAAAGTTTACTTTAGAAATTACTTTCACTTTTAAAGGGTTTGCTTTTAAATTACTTTAAACAGTCACTTAACATGTAGTATAGATTCAGGCAGAAGTCAGAGTGCAGACTAAAGCCAACTATTTTATTTGAAGAAATTCTGGAGAAGTAGATGCTTATACAGTGCCAAACAACCTTCCAAAAAAAAAAAGAGAAGTGTTTAAATAAATGTTTTTATGTCATAAAAGGTGTCTTTACCTGTACAACTGTTAAACTTCATGCACCATAATTTGCAGTAATTTTACTGGAATTCAGGATTTCTTGGTTGAATTTTTTCCATCCTTTCCAAAACTGGTTGGTTTTACTTCAACTGTTTTTACCATTCAAAAGCATAACATCAAAATCACAAAGCTTCATTAATTCTGTTTTGTAGTGTAGTGTAGTGTACTCTCACAACTATGTGGGGTAGGATTGAGGTTATTCAAGGGAACCATCAAATTAGCAGCTACCTAGTAGCAGTTTAAGATACATTGATTTATTTATTTTGCACAATATAAAAACTTCATTTTAAAAAACTCATTTGAGTGTAAACTATGAGTGGAAATTCTTGAGGCTTTTTTAATAGGTTTCTGAGTAGCTGATTTGAGTGGTCTGCTTTGAAGCATTCATTGCAAAGTCTATCTCTAATATAAGATAAAATCTTAGGGAAGGGACTTTCTCATCAAGTAAGGAGTTGTGGACATTGCTCACATCTTAAGAAAGATGCTTTGTCTTTGAAAACAAAATAGAGAATTTTGCACCACATGAACAGCTACAATTTTAATGTCCTTTAGCAAAATTTGCAGCCAAGTTTAAAGTGAAGTATTGCTTCTCTACTACAGATTTTTCTTTTTTTTCCCCTTTCTCATATTGCATCAGTCCCTAATTAGTAATGGTTTAATGAAACAATGTTTTTGTTGAAGTGAACAATAAAGCCAGTATACTAAACTTTAATTAAAATCTCACTTCTGTTAAATGTACACGTTTGATTTTGTTTTTCTTCTCTTGCACTGAGTAGTATTTCTCTAATTAATTTCAATTAATCTCAATGCTTTAATTATTATTGGTCTAATTCTAGTTCCTCCTGCAAGTTATAATGCAAAAAAAGGGTCTTTAACTGAAATAAAATGAGAAAGTAAGATTGGTAACTTCAAGTACAGAGAGTTTCTTTTATTAAGCAGGAAAACTCATTGTTCATGCAAAGGAGTTGGGAATAACTCTTGTTATTGGTGAGAAATGAGTGGGCAGGGGGACCATTCAGAAAACAAATCTTTATTCTCCCAGATTGAAAGTTTATCTGACAAACTGAAAACTGGGGTTAGCAGCCATGGAGAAAAAAAAAAAAATATTGCTATGGAGGTGAGCAATGTTGCATGCAGCCCAGGACATGGTTTCACTTGTGAACTATGCAGTCAAATATATGATGATAAGTAGTTTAGTGTTAGACTTGTCTAAGAAGCAGGAAAAACCTTCAATATGGAGGAAAATCAGTATTTATCTAATTTGATATATAGCTTCTCCCATGTAGTTAGCAATAGGACGAGAGGAAATGGGCTCAAGCTGCACCAGGGGAGGTTTAGGCTGGAAATTAGGAGAAATTTCTTCACGGAAGGGGTAGTCAAGCATTGGAACAGGCTGCCCAGAGAGGTGGTGGAGTCACCATCCCTGGAGGCATTCAAAAAATGGGTAGATATGGCACTTGGGGACATGGTTTAGTCTAGTCTACCCTTGATTGGCTCAGTGTGGATTTGGTAGTGTAGGTTAATGGTTGGACTGGATGATCTTAAAGGTCTTTTCCAACCTAAACGATTCTATGATTCTATGATTCTGTTGCTTTCCATCACTGTACTGAATAGTATATGTGAGAAAATTGAGCAGTGTATAATTTAAATAGACACTAAATATATTAGCATCATATATTACGCTTTGAGTTCACTTACTATGTCCTTTCTAGCTCTTCCATTCTCTTCTTGAGGACTTTTTTCCTACTTTCTGTCTTGCATTACTATTTTACTGCTCCTTTCATCTTGCTCTATACCACAGGTTCTGCAGCTTGCTCTTTAAAAATCTTTGTTGCTCACCTTCTATGGACTTTACATGACTTGAGCTTCCAAATACTTTAGTGTCTCTTTAAAGATTATACCTTCACCCATAAGAATTTTTCAAAAGTCTAGGGCTTACTACTGCTCTTTCAGGAAACAAACTGTTGTTTTCTTCCATTGCTAGAAAACAGAGGCCATGAGTGTTCCCACTTCTCACCTGTTTCTTGCCACTACTCTGAATTCAAACTAGCGTAAAGTGTGTTCTGAACCACCATGGAATCCAGTACCCAAATTTCCAGCAGGGAGAAGAGAGTCTGATCTCTGTTCTTGCCTCTCATCCCTGGACCCATGCTGCTTTGTTTTTCTGGACTTTTTCTAAAGAATCACTTATGTTGCCTCTACTGTTTTGTTCTCCAAATGACAACAGATAAAACTCACATTGGTCTCACTTCCCTTCACTAACATATACGGAAACTGTCATTTCACAAGAAGTTGTGTATTTCTGAGCTTGGAATGCCG